TTCACAACTCCCTCAGCCCCTCCTGAGAGCAGCAGCGGTGCTGCTGTTGCTGCTGCTGCTGCTGCAGTATCTGCAGCTAAGGAAGTTATTATCTCAAGTGTAGGCATTTGCAAGAGCAGCAAACCTCGTTGCTTCCGCTGCTGCTGCTGCTGCTGCTCCTGCTGCTGCTGCTGCTGGAGGCGCTTCTGTAGCTGCAAGGCACTCTTCCTAATGTGCTGCAGCACTTCCGGCAAATCCTGCTGCTGCTGCTGCTGCTGCAGCACGGGTAGCCCTGCAGTGTGGGGCAACGGCTTCAAGGACCAGACATTAATGAGAGAGTCAGCAGCAGCAGAAGCGAGACAGTCTCCAAACTGCGTTGCTGCTGCTGCTGCTGCTGCTGCTGCACTCTTCCGTGAGCCAGGCTCTGTCTTGTGCTGCTGCTGCTGCTGCGCTGCAGCAGCAGCAGCAGCAGGAACGAAGCAAAGGGCGGTGATGCTGCTTACATGGTCTGTGAGAGTTAGGAAGGGGACATGCTCTGGTGCTGCTGCTGCTCTTGCTCCTGCTGCTGCTGCTGCTGTTGCTGCTGCTGCTACAAAGGAGAGGTTATAGACCCGCAGCAAACCGTCAGCAGTACCGACAGCCAACAGCGCGCGAGACGGGTGAAACCTGAACAGCAACACAGCAGCAGCAGCAGCAGCAATAGCAGCAGCAGCAACAATACCAGCAGCAGCAACAGCAATAGCAGCAGCAGCAGCAGAAATAGCAGCAGCAGCTGGAGCAGAAATTGCAGCAGCAGCAGGAACAGCAATAGCAGCAGGCGTACTTGAGGGCAGTAACCGCAGCAGCATGCTTCAGGGAGCAGCACGGAGTTGCTGCTGTTTGCTGCAGCAGCAGCACCTCGACTTCGCCTCCCACACAGCCAACAGCAGCAAGTCGTATTGTTTCTGTTGCTGCTGCTGCTTCTGTTGCTGCTCCTGCTGCTGCTGCTGCTGCTGCTGCTTCTGCTGCTGCTGCTGAGCGAAAGATCGGGAGAGGCTCGGAAATGCATGCAATACGAGCGACGCTTGAAGTCCCCTGAAGATACACCTCAAACCCTAAACCCTAAACCCTAAACCCTAGATTGCAAACCCTAAACCCCAAAGGATAAGGCGTATGAGCAGCTGCAGCAGCAACAGCAAATGCAGCAGCAGCAGCAACAAATCCCCTACCTTCCACTTCTGCAGTTGCTGCAACTGCGCCCACGGCTGGAGGGGGCTCTCGCTGCTGCTGCTGCTGCTGCTGCTGCTGAGCCTCTGTGATGCAATGAACAAGGCAGGGTCCTGCTGCTGCTGCTGCTGCTGCTGCTGCTGTTCGTGCTGCAGTTCTGGCTTCAGGGTCAGCAGCATCAGCCGCATGAGGCCAGACGCCCCACAGGAGAGAACAAGCCCTACGCTGCAGGAGCTGCTGCTGCTGCTGCTGCTGCTGCTGCTCTCTTGCGTCAATGTGCAGGCAGCAAACGCAGAAACAGCATCTTCTACAGCAGCATCACTCAGCTGCAAAGGCCCCCAAAACTGAGTCTCCAGGTAGGAGGGAAGGGGGCCTTCTGCTGCATCTGCTGCTGCTGCTGCTGCTGCCCCCGGTGATGTCCCTGCCGCTGTTGCTGCTGCTGCTGCTGCTGCTGCTGCTGCAGCATCTGCTGCTGCTGCTGCACGGGCGGAGGCTGGAAGCAACGCGCAGCAAAGCGAATCGCTATAGAGCGACAACAGCACATCCAGCTGCTGCCCTGCTGCTGCTGTTGCTGCTGCTGCTGCTGCTGATCCCTCTGCTGCTGCTGCTGCTGCTGCTACAGGACGGGTCAGCCGCAGCACCGTTACGCCAGCCGCTTGGCTGCAAAATGATTGCAGCAGCTGGCGGGGCTGCCACGTCTCTGACAACTCCGCCATATCCCTAAACCCTAAACCCTAAACCCTAAACCCTAAACCCTAAACCCTAAGGGGGGCGCCAACCTTCCAGGAGATTAGGTTGGTCTAGCTGAGTGTATTGACAAGATAAACAAAGAAGAAAAAGAAAGAAAAGGCGAAGAAGGCATCGAGCCGTGCACGAAGAAGAAGGTATTGAAACCGTAAGCCCTAAACCCTAAACCCTAAACCCTAAACCCTAGACAGCCGGCCCGCTCCCGCGGGTTTAGTAAGCGCCTTCGTGCATACCAACACGAGGAATTCATAAATAAAAATAATTATTTTAATTATAATTTGCAAATCAAGCAGAAAAACAGCAGCCCCACATCTATATTAGCAGCGGCTTCTGTATACATGCAGCAGACTTTCTATGACTGGACGGCGGCTTCTTTACGGGGCTGACTCAGGTGCGCCGAGGGAATTAAGGTGTAAAAAGAGGTGAATTTCATGAAATAAATTCAAAATAAACCTTAAATTCAGAAAAAAATTATTTATTTAATTAGAATATACCCATGGTGTATTATGAGCTGCACATACACCGCAGAGAGAGGCGGTGTCAAGGTAGTTGGTTTGCAGCTACAAGCTGTTGTAGATCTGTCTATATTTGAGTGAAATCTCTATTTAAAAGAGGAGAATTAAATTAAAAATTAATTCTTTTAATTCTTTTCATCAATTTATTTACTTTTATCGTTCTTTATTCTGCTGCTCTCTCTTAGTGTGTATAGATAGACACCACGCAGCCGCGAGAGTAAAGTGAAGAAATATTTATACTGCTGCTGGGCGGCGCTGAACTCATTATTAATAATATTAGGAAATTAATTTGAATTATTAATTTATTACTTTAAATATTCTAAAATGCGAAAAAAATATTAAAGTAGACATCAAATCTGCGCTGCTGCTGGTGTGTACGTACACCTCAAACTGCTGAAGTGCGTATACACCTGAAATACAGTTGTTTATCCCTTCAAGATATCAACACGAATTTGTTGTGGAATGCTCTGGGGGCAAAGGCCAACAGAAGAAGCCCAAATCGACTACAGTAAAGCAGTTGTTGGGGTGTATATACACCGCAAATAAAAGCTGATCATACACCCGACGCTCTCAACAAATAGCAGCTGACCATACACCCGAAGCCCTCATGAAGACCTCTACCCCCCAGCAGCCTCCCCGCCAGTCCTTCTGGCGGTGGTGCAAGCGGAAGGAAATGAAACCTCCAGGTAAAGATCGCCCCTAGCGCTTCATTAGCTAGCTAGCTAGCTAGCTAGATCGAATAGCTAGCTAGCTAGCTAGCTAGCAACGCTAGCTAGGTAGCTAGGTAGCTAGCTAGGTAGCTAGCTAGGTAGCTAAATAACTACTACGTAGTTCGGTAGCAGGCTAACTACTGATTCCTCTGGGTAGCTAGCTAGCTAGCTAGCTAGATAGATAGATAGGTAAAAAGCTGCACGTCTACCCAGCTAGCCTAGGCGTCACAGGCAGTTGAGTTGGGGTGTACGTGCAGCTCAGCTGCAGCAAACAGCCAGTGTGCAGAGAGCTGCGCATACACCGCACCATCGCCAGCAATTGCAACTGAAGTGCATCACTGAACAAAACAAACAAAAACAAACAAAACAAACAAAACAGCAAAACAAATACAAGAAGATTAGAACAGCCAGCTAGCTATCAGGGCTGGGGGTTTTCTCTAGCTAGCTGCTGCTGCTCTGTTTAGTTGAGGCAACTGCTGAAGGAAGTAACTGGCTAGCTATGCTGTTGCTTGTCAACTAGCTAGCTAGCAAGCAAGCTAGCTAGCTAGCTACCCACCTGGCTAGCTAGCTGGTTGTCTGCCGCTTGTTAGTTGGAGAAGTCGTACACCCGTGCAAGCTACTCAGCCAGCTAGCTAGCTAGCCAATCAGCTAGCTAGCTAGCCGGCCAGGTAGCAACTGATGTAGCAATCCGTGTATAGCTCAGCTAGCCAGCTAGCTAGCTATACCTAGCTAGTCAGCTAGCTATATAGTTTTGTTTTAACTTCGTTTTATTTCTTTCATTTGTTTGTTTGCGTTTACTCGTTGGTGCGGCTCGTCTCTACTTGTTTATTTGTTTTTCTATTTGTGCATTATGTTATGCATGCATCTACGTATACATCAATATCATAGTAAATTAATGTATATATAAATATATATACATATATATATATATTTATATATTTATATATATGTATATATATTCATATACAATACTATAAAGAAAAATTTAGTTTAGCCGTTTATTTGTATTATATATATATATAAATATAAATATATATGTATATATTATATATTCTTTCTTATATTCTTAATACATATAAATATATATAAACATACTATATACTATATATATATAAATGCTTTGCTAATGATAATTGTATTTGTATATCATGTAATATATATATATATATATATATAGAATATAATATATAATATATATGATATTTACATATATATATAAATTGTGTGTGTGTGTATTTGTATAGACCCTAACGACCCGGTAGCTCAGCAAGAATTGCTTCGAAAATCGCATATAAAATGCATGCAAGCGTCTTGGATTAGTTGGGGTGTATTGACAGCTGGTTTATTAGTAGAAGTTGGCTGGTGTTTATATACAATATTTGTTCAGCAGTGGGTTGAAGAGTCGCGCATGCATTTAAATAAAGAATTATCATCGTATATGATATTTGAAGATACACTTTTTTCTGTCTTCTCTTCACGCTCTCCTTCATATTGTTATAAAGATTTAATCGATCATAAACAATCTATACCTATTATCCCTCAACAAGACAAAGAAATCATTAGAGAAGCAGTTAAAACATTTGCTTCTTCTATGTGCATATACACCCGAGATATATATTTCTTTGAAGAAGCATCTGGAGAGCTAATTAAGGACAGTTTACCTGCATTTGTTGATGCTGTGTATGCATGCGGTAAAGACTTTTCTGTGTTATTAAGTAGAATTCACAAGCCACTTGTTAAAGACTTATTTACTTATATTCAAAGAAAAATATCCTTCGTAGATCTGGCCTTTCAGCTCGTCGAAAACAAACAAATTACTGCGAATCTCTGGTGCGCTGCTACACTACAAGATCAACAAGTTGCTGACTTTCACGAAGCCAGCGTACTGCTCAGAACACTCACAGATAAACTACAAGGTAAACCCTAAACCCTAAACCCTAAACCCTAAACCCTAAACCCTAGTTCCTCAAAATTGTAGCGTCTTGCTCAGGACACGCACAGATAAACTACAAGGTAAACCCTAAACCCTAAACCCTAAACCCTAAACCCTAAACCCTAATTCTTGAAAATTCTAGCGTGTTGCTGCACAGCCTCTATAAATATTATTATTAATATTCATATTTCTTAATATTAATATTAATATTTCTTATTATTAATATTAATATTTCCTAGTATTACTATTAATATTTATTAATACTAATATTAACATTAACAAGAAAATAAATATAAACGTTATTATTATAATATATATATATACATATATAATATTATGAATTCTCTCATAATATCAATTCCTATGTTTATTTAAACTATAATATTTAAATATATTTATTAATATTGAAATTAAATATATTTATTAATATTTGATTTAAATATATTTATTTCTATTTAATAGATAAAAATACAGTAAATATATATTATTCTTCAGGGTTTGAAGCAAGAACAGCACTTAATATATATTTATATTGCTACTGTAATTAGAGCATTTAAATATATTTAAAAGTATAATATATTAAATGAATAAATATATGATAAATATATATATATATTCTTCAGGGTTTGAAGCAAGAAATACAACAGCGCTGCTGCCTTCAGTCTTTATTTTTATTTTATTTATTTTATCTCTTCCGCTCTGGAAACGTAAAGATATATTCGCAAAGATATTTCATCAGAGGTTTGATCATCTCTGGAACAGCTTACAGAAGATCGATCAGGTATTATCTTTATTATCTTTATTATCTTTATTATCTTTATTATCTGTTATCTTTATTTAAATATATCTATCTAATTATATTTCATTATGTTTAATTATCGGTATTTATTTATGCATTCATTTATGTACTTATTATATTATATTATATTATATTATATTATATTATGTTATGTTATATTATATTATATTATATTATATTATATTATATTATATTATATTATAATTATTTAGTTTATTATCCTATACGATATTAGTATTATATAATATTGCATCAACAATTGTACTAGAAATAGTTGCGTAATATTAAATCATAACTGTTAATAATAATGATAAAATAAAATAAAATATATTATTATTTATTTTATTTGTTTTATTTTATATTGTTTTTGCTGCGCTTTAATTAGTGCACGAAACGAGAACGCAACAGCAGCAGCAGCAGCAGCAGCAGCAGCAGCAGCAGCAATAGTGTGTTGCTGTTTCGCTGGATCTCTTTGCTGCGTTTGTTTGTCTCATGCAAAATAATAATAGAAGCATATAAAAAGATATTTAATTAAATATTTAGTTTAATTTTATATATAAATTATTCTTCTTAATAAACAAACCCTCAGCAGCAACTCGCTGCTGCTGTGCTGCACAGGGCTATTGGGGGGCCCCCTGCTGCTGCGTTTGAGGGGCCCCCTTCATTTTGTTTTATATTTTCTTTGTTTTATTTATATCTTTTAATTAAATATATCTTTAAGAGTTGATAAAACACTTAACTTTTTCTTCGGGTGTCAATACCTCTGCCCCCTCCAATCACAGCCTCCTCATAGATAGAGGAGCACAAAACCCTCAAACCCTAAACCCTAAACCCTAAACCCTAAACCATATGTCTCGTAGACGGGGGCCCCCAGATACCTCGGGGCCTCGAAGTAAGGCGTGGGTTGGGGGGGCCCCTAGCCTTCTATCTCAAGCCCTAGCAGCAGCATGTACAGCAGATAAGCCAAAGCAAGATAAGATATTTGTATCATCATCATCATCTGCTTCATCTTATCGTAGAGTATTATTTAATAATTATAATAATAATTATAATAAGAGAAGGCCCTCTAGGTCTCGCTCGCGGTCCCCTAATATATATTCTTCTTCATCAACTCTATGGAGACATATACATGCAACAGAAAAACAAAGAGAAGAGTCGGATTATTATCATAAGAGAACCTTTTCAAGGGGCCCCCATGAGGGGGGCCCCCATGAGGGGGGCCCCCATGAGTGGGGCCCCCATGAAGGGGGCCCCCATGAGGGGGGCCCCCATGAAGGGGGCCCCCATGAAGGGGGCCCCCATGAAGGGGGCCCCCATAGGAGGGGGGCCCCCCGATATGGAGAAGCAGCACATAGACATGTGAAGATGTGGATAACAGAAGCTTCAAGTGCTGCTGCTTCAAGGGGCCCCAGGAGCTTCTTAGGGGGCCCCTATGATACCCTACCTGGGTCCCCTTATAGACAAGGTAAAGGGGGTTTAAGAAGACAAGATAAAGACGATAAAGATGATAAAGATGATGAACACTTGTGGTTAAACGATTTATATACAGATGATATTAAAAATGTCTCTTCAGCTGTATTTATCAGAGGCCTACCCCCTGATATCACTCAACAAGAAATACTCGCAAACTTCTCTAGATGCGGCAATATTGTTGGCGTCAAAGTAAACCCTAAACCCTAAACCCTAAACCCTAAACCCTAAGCATGAAGCAGTATTGTTCACGTCAAAGTTAACCCTAAACCCTACACCCTAAAGACGAAGCAGTATTGTTGGAGCCAAAGTAAACCCTAAACCCTAAATATGAAGCAGTATTGTTCATGTCATAGTAAACCCTAAACCCTAGAGATGAAGCAGTATTGTTGGTGTTAAGGTAAACCCTAAACCCTAAACCAAACCCTAAACCCTAAACCGTTATAGGGTTTATACGTAGGTCTATTATTGTGCAAGGTCTGGGACTCGCCAGCTAGGGTTTAGGGTTTAGGGTTTAGGGTTTAGGGTTTGGGGTGTATGTGCAGATGGATGCACGAGGGCGTGTGGTTACAGCTGAAGTATCTTATAGAGAGAAAGCTGCTGCAGCATTTGCTGCAAAGACATTTAATGGGGTGTATATACAGCCGAAGAAGATCAGAGATAATAAAGAGGGTTTAGACGAGGTGCCTATACACCTCAAACATCAACAAACTCCAACCCGTCTGAAGGTTTCTGTCGTAGACAAAACCCAGCAGCCAAGCGGAGTGCAGCAAATTGAAGAGAGTGATATACCCTGTACGTACACCCCAAATATACCCTAAACCCTAAACCCTAAACCCTAAGGGCTAAACCCTAGAGAGTCATCGGTGCACAAGAAAATGCCCTTTTATAAACCCTAAGTTTTCATAAACCCTCACTAACCCTAAACCCTAAACCCTCATCATTTATAAACCCTAATATAAACCCTATGTACTAAACCCTTCTCCGCTATACACCCGAAGCTCCCCCAAACCCTAAACCCTAAAACGCTAAACCCTAAGTATATGTAAACCTTAGTTATCCCGAAGCCCTAAACCCTAATCATTAATGCTAAACCCTAACAAACCCTAAACCCTAAGCCTTACTCACATGCAGCCCCTAATTTATAAACCCTAATTTATAAACCCTAATTTGTAAACCCTAATTTGTAAACCCTAATTATAAACCCTAGCTGAACGCCAATAGTAAATCCTGTTAGACGCAGATAAACCCTAAACCCTCACAACAATGCCTCTAACATCCTAATAAACCCTAAACCCTAAACCCTAAAAGGCCCAAGTAAACCCTAGCGAAGGTTCTTGTACTCCGCCTCCGGCAATCGTAGCACTCGAGGGTTTAGGGTTTAGGGTTTAGGGTTTGCATCTAAACAAATATCACCACACACACGCACGACTGTTCCTTCTCTTCTTCCTCCTGCTTCTCTCTGCTGCTTCTGCTGCTGCTGCTTCTGCTGCTGCTGCTTCTGCTGCTGCTGCCTTTGCTGCTGCTGCATTTGCTGCTGCTGCTGTTAATATCGCTTATTCACAACACCTTTTTATTTTATGTTTTTCTTCAGTGGATATGCCTTCAAGATTAGTACTTCTAAGAAACAGAACAATCATCAAAACAAACCTCAGGGGGCCCCCAGGGGGCCCCCGGGGGCCCCCAGGAAGAAGCAGAGGCAGCGGCATGGTGTGTGATGCAGAGCCAGTGTCTATCTTTGATCGACTCTCTTGAAAACCCTAAACCCTAAACCCTAAACCCTAAACCCTAATGCGAGGGTTTATTTATAAAACCCTAAATCCTGATGTGTGCGAGGGTTTATCTTAAAATGTATATCTTAAATCCTAATTTAATAAATGCAAGGGGTTGTTATTATTCAACTGTAAACCCTAAACCCTAAATTTATCTTAAAACCCTAAACCCTTATTCTTAATGCGAGGGTATAAGCTAAGCCCTAATAATAAACCATCACGAGTGGGCTTACGCTAAACCCTAGTAAACCCTAAACCCTAATTCGAGGGTTTATCTTAAACCCTAAACCTTTACGCGAGGGTTTATCGTAAGCCCTAAACCTATAGGGTTTAGGGTTTATCGTAAACTTTAAACCCTAATGAGAGGGTTTTCTTTAAACTTAAACCCTCACGTGAGGGTTTTTACATTAATAAACCCTAATAAACCCTCACGTGAAGGAGTCCCTTTATAAACCCTAGTAAACCCTCAGGCGAGGGTTTAGGGTTTGGGGTTTAGAGAGGGCACGCTGACGGGCGCGCGTATTGCAACACTCCCCACCTGCAGCAGCAGCAGCAACAGCAGCAGCAGCAGCAGGAACAGCAGCAGCAGCAGCAGCAGCAAAAGCAGCACATTGCTTTATCTGTGGTGGTACCGAGACACAACATAACGTATAATATAGGCAGCACGCTCCCTTTTATTAATTTGCTGCTGCTACATTTACTGCTGCTGCATTTGCTGCTGCTGCTGCTGCTGCTGCTGCTGCTTACTTCCCGCCGGTCATCCACTTTGGGTCTTTTGCTGTTGCTGCTGCTTGCTTTTCTTTTGTTATGCCGCACCTGCAACAGAGAGAAGTTACACTCAAACAATGAACAGTCTCCTTAGCAGCACCAAACAATCATCTGCTGCAGCAGCACCAGGAGCATCAGGAGCTGCTGTTGCTGCTGCTGCATAGAGAGCAGCAACTGCAGCAGCAAAAGGACAGGAGGAAAACAGCTGAAACAGCAACAGCAGCAAGACTAGCAGCAGCAAAAGCAGCAGAAAAGCGCAGCAACAACAGCAGAAGGGCCCGCAGCAGAACAGCAGCAATAGCAGCAGCAGCAGCAGCAGCAGCAGCAGGTACCCGAGTTCTGATTTGAGAAGGCGCAGCGCAAGCACCGGAGTGATGCAGCGATTTACTACTGCAGCAAAAGGGGTGTCAAAAGGCCAAAGCCTGTCGCCTGCAGCAGCAGCAGCAGCAGCAGCAACAGCAGCAGCAGCAGCAGCAGCAGCAACAGCAGCAGCAG